GTCCGAATGCTCACTTCGTGGACGGAATTTTTGAATATTTGATGTGCGTCCATCGCATCCCGTTCCCTCGGGACCCCCTACCCTCTCCCGCAGGATCGATAGTCTCATCCCGTGTCTCCTGGACACGTCCCAGGATCAGTCAAGGATCCCCCAGGACACTGTCCCCTGTTTCATAAAAACGCATTTTAGGCGAATATTGAATTTCGCAGCAATTTCGGCCCGGCCGTCGTGTTGATATTGACAGACATAGTGACTTTTGACGGGGAAGTTTTACATTGACTTGTTCTTCCTTGTATTTTTATGCGAATGGAATTATGATATTTATTTATTTATTTCTACGGAAAATGCCACACACAATGTTCGTAATATTACCCTTCTGATTACTGGTTCCTGAGCCTGGTTCCTTATATCCTTCTGTATGAATTAAAAAAAACTTATCACCTTTTTATGGGAAAGGATTTTTGTTTCGAAATTTTGCAGCAGGTGTTACCACTTACTAACGTAACGTACGCGCATAATCCTGCAACTTACGAGCAGTGCTTTTAGTACCTGCGTATAAATTCGAGAGTCATTAGTTTCGTCCTTATAAGGGTCAGATCTGACCCAGGTTCCATTCAAAAACCTAAATGTTAGTCTAAGAAAATATACTGATTTCTGAAGCAAAAACTTATATAAGTTAGTTTTACACACTATTTTCTTACATGTGCAAATTTATACGAAAACCATTGTTGTTATACTGTAAGTAATGCTAAAATCAAAGGATTGTATTTATAATTATAACCATTTACAGTCTGTAGAAAATTAATTGGAGAAAGAGTTCATAATCTTTTGAAACAGTTTGAAATATTCATGAAAAAGCAAGATATGTTTTCCTCAAAATAACAAATTCACCCTGGGACATCTTAAAACCCTGTAGAATACCGTATGGATTAATATACAAAAAAATATTTAAATTAACTCCTTATAAAATAAAACATCTTTACCTGTGTGTATATAAGTGAATGGCATGATGTTTTCATCACGTTTTCTCATACTTTGCACGCACACCTCTGCTATCTCTGAAATCAGTAGAAATAACGTAAACATAAATACACGAATATAAAAATATACTAAAGCACGATTATTTAATTAGACATGCTTAGGCTAACATTGTAGTGCACCAATGGATAGGAAAATGATATTGCAATATTAATAAAACAAAAAATAGAACTAGAATGACGGCGTAAATTTATTTAACTTCTGGTGAATATGTAACATTTTGTATTGATAGCCTTTCTTTAATTATGCATACTATGGTATAGTGTTCTTATTTTTCAACACTAAACATTTTTGAATCATATCAATAATAATTACGAAATAAACAATAAGAATAATACAATACATCTTAAGCCCCCATACACGGGCGAGCATGTTCGCGAGCATGCTCGTGACGGTGTTGACGACGAACATGCTCGCCCGTGTGTGGGATCCGTCGCGGCGAGCATGTTGGGCTCGGCGCTCGGCTCGTCGGACTTGGCGAGCCCGAACACGAACATGCTCACGAACCCGTCTGTGGGGATGAAATAAAATGTTCGTCGCTCCAACTTGGATAGAGATAGGCTAAATGATTCCATCGATGTAACCGCTACTATGATTCCAGTTACACTGGTGGACTCATTACAAGTAACCGTTCCGATTCCAAACGATTACTTCGTTACCGCCATTACAAAGTAGCCGCAATAGACATATTGCACTTGTAATCATTATGGTGTTGATACTCTGATGTATTCCAGTTACAGTAATATATTTAGAATCAATGTTTACAGAAGCTAAATAAATATTTATTTGTGTTTGTAACGCAATAAATACGAATTTAAATGAGTTTCCAAAATAGGGAGTTCATCAATTACAATTTGTATATTATTACAGAAATGTGTACAATCAATTCTGTAGTAATTTGTCACAATTAAATAATTCTAAGAAAGGCTAGAATAAGCAAAACTACGAAAAATGTTATTGCACAACGATGGAATTTTAACCAACATTATTTTCAAACCATAGCGGATGAATTTATTCCAATAACTTAAGAAGGCCTGGCACAAACGGTCGATTTTTAGATCGGCCGATTACAAGATCGGCCAAAAATAAATCGCCCCTGTCTAATAAATAATGCGTATGTTGCAAAAAAAAATTAATTGCAGCAAAAAAACAGGAGTAGGCTAAAACACACATCTTGACTGTCACAGAGCACAAGAAAAGCAAGAATAGGCCTAGGAACCGCTACCGAGCGACGAGCATGTTCGCGAACATGTTCGCGAGCATGCTCGTCCGTCTGTTGACAACGCCGAGCATGTTCGCGAGCATGCTCGTCCGTCTGTTGACAACGCCGAGCATGTTCGCGAGCATGTTCGCCAACATGCTTGCGAACATGCTCGCCCGTGTATGGGGGGCTTAACGTCTACAAAAGCATATTTAAGGAAAAATATTATATCACGTAATTAACTGTGATAGTATGGTAAAATATAGTTTCAAAAGAATTTTGAATGTAAGAATTTATTAGTGGCCGTAGTGAAATATTACCCCTGATTGCGTTGACGGTAAGAACCATAGATATTTTCATTCAATTTATTAGTAATTAATTAATAAAGACCGTAGAAAAAAACTTAATTTATAATATCCTTCGAAAGAAAACACCAGATACTGTACTGTACCATAACCCGTTTCGGGCAAAGATTCACTTTTAATATTTATAAATTACAGGGTGTTTTTTTAACGCAACCCAAAATAGAAGTACTGTAAGACAGAGTTTAGTGACAAAACTATTTAACTATGAGGTTTGGTGACGTTGGGAGATTATTGTGAATAATACGCAACGTGGTGTTTTCGCAAGCTCACATAAAGTATGTTTTGTATAATTTTTGTTTGTTTGCTAAATATCTGGTCTCCTTAAATTTTTGACAAGTCAAAAAATATCTACTTTTTACGTACTTTTACGTCTGGTAACTTAATTTCAAACCTTTCTTGGCATAAAATCAATTATTTTGTATTTATTATCTTTGAACTTGTGAAAGCACCATGTTAGGTTTTATTCTCCCAATAACACCAAATCATAGATAATTATACAACAACGCACATCAGCTGATTGGCGTTGAAATAAGGAAAACAGGTTTACCAATATATTTGCTTGGCGTTAAAAAAAGTATCGTACTTGTAATTTGGGTTGCATTAAAACCCCCCTGTATATTCCATGCTAATATTTGTGAATTTTCCCACTAATATACACTTGACATAACCTCTTCCCTTGATTCTAGGCTCTCATTTAATTACTGTTTTCTCAGATCCACTAATGATAGTAAGTTTTTTTGCAGCTGCCGCAGCCCCGCGCGCCAGATGACATGTTCAGGGAGGTTTTGCATCCCCGACCCCAAAGGGTTCAGATAAAAAATTAAAATAAGAATAAAAAAGCGACCGTGACCGTGATTTTTTGTCGCCGCAGGAAGCTCATTGTGCCCTTACCTGCGACCCGGGACTCTTTACACTCAAAATCGACCTAATTCTTTCCCCCCAGACACCCCGCCCCCCGCAGTGTTCCAATCACTGATTTAATTTGACTGTTTTGAGTGCTGTCGAAAAACCGTACGGCAACTGTTCGAACGAAACTGTTAGACGTTAATGTCATGTAAAATTATCGAGAGGGTGTAAATATCCAACTGAACATACAGTATAATTATGTTTGGTTAACTTGAATTCAAGTCTGGTAGTACATCCAGCACATCCTTTATTCTATTGGTGACTTCAATATAGTACACATTATATTTAAAGGAATTGTTTAGCAATGGCCAGTTTACTGCGTGTAACACAGAGTGGCTGAAAAGTAACTTACCCTTAGCTTTGTAACAATTTGAGATATTTGAAATCGGTTTGCGACAATGAGTAAATTTGAAGATTTTGCATTGCTAGTGGGGGTAGGGTAGCTCAAAATGTTCAAATCGGAAGTATAGTCGACTTTTGTATCATTTTACAGGTCTCGACGAAACTAAACAATTGACATAAAGAAAACAAAAATTGGTAACCTAATAACAAAATGGTGCCCTTAAACGATTAAAATTCAATTAACCATGCGGGCTTAAAATTGATACGTTTGCAAAAAAATTGGCAAAACACAGTTGCAATAAATTGTTCCAAAAGTTTACGTTATCAATAATCAATCAAAATGATTTTACTATCAACAATAATGTAGCACACTAATGTGTATGTTAACAATACAACCCTACAAGGTATCTCCCCCACCCCATGTGCCATACATCTGGTAAAGCTAGATAACGCAAGGTATCACGGTCGATTGGCTGTTTATATACTAGCCTCATATTGGCTACCTCACACCGGCCGATTTACCCTATAAATCTCCTAATTTATGACGTACAACGCGACCGTTCTTTACATACATATCGTGTTTTTATATCCTTCCCTCCATCGACCCAGAAGATTGTGTAAAGGCTGATTTATGCCAGTCATGATTTATACTTCAAGCTACGGATTTTTTTGGGTAGATTTTTGATTATTTTAAATTGATTGGTTTTAATGTGGTTAATCGGTTTTTATTTATTTATATCCCACGGGTAACTCGATTAAAAATAATACTGTACTTCGATGTCAAAATAAATTTAATTAATGTAGATAAAGTTGAAACAACCACAAACAGACTGTACCTAATGTTATGACGGTTCAAAAATTCAGGAAATCAGTAACACTATAAATTAAGAAGAATAAAATAGAATTAAGTAAGTAAAAACTTTAAATATCACTATTATAAAATATTCATATAATACTCACTTTTAATTCTATTTGCACGATGAGGAAACAAAATCTGGAAATTAGGATCATAAGGAAAAGCAATCCGTATTACAGTATCTTAATTCTGACAAGGTCGGCGGGACATTTTAGGTTTTCCGTGTTGTGAAGCTAAGTGATAGCAATAGGTCAGAACCTCAGATATATAAACAATGAGCTAAGTGTGGAGCTATCAGTGACCATGAAGACAGTGTTGGCGATACTTCTCATTTGTGAGTGTCTACATAGTATATCATCTGCTCCTGCAACTGATGATGTAAGTAGTGATGCACATAGACTAGGAGATTCGTCTAGGAGTCCTGCCCGTAATTTCAGATATCCACATCATCAACCATGGGTACAAAGCGGGTTTTCTGGGATAAATTTTGGTGATTATTCGAGATTTAGTGATGGTTTTCCAAGTGGATTTCCAAGAATAAATATTGGTGAATTTCCAGACTTTAGTGGCCGTTTCCCAAAAATAAATATTGGCGAATTTCCAGACTTAAGTGGCCGTTTCCCAAGAATAAATATTGGTGATATGCCAGACTTTGGTGATGAACTATTTCCAGATGGCTTTCCAGAAAGAAATGCAGGTGATTTTCCAAGAACTCCAGGAGTGCAACCTGGAGATGAATTTATTCCAGATTCATGGTTTGAAGGGCTTCCAACAATACCTCCTATGGATATCCCTGATTTCTTTTCCAAAGGATTTCCAAGAGGACCAGACTCTAAACCTAACAATCCTCCTCAGCAACCACCAAGACAACCCAATTATGGACCTAACTACCCTACTGAAGAAACACCAAGACAACCAGATAATGGACCTAATCACCCTACAGAGAAGACACCAAGACAACCAAATCATCCTACAGAGAAATCCCCAAGTCCAAATGATGGACCCAAGCACCCCACTGAAGAAACAACAAGACAGCCAGATAAACAATTTGAAGAGCAAACCGAAGTTTCTGCTGATAAGGGTACAACAGAAACTCCAGATATTTCAAGCACTACGAGCGATCCTGACGATGTTTCGCAGTGGAAAAGATTTGTAAGTACACATCTCTAATTTTAATCAGTATAGGTCTACTTAAAAACACATCTTAACAGAATTGATAATTCACTAACACACAATTTAAGTGCCACAATGTACACCCAACAAACATTTTATCGTTTCTTATAACTAATTGTTTCAATTTTCCAAACGATTCCGCATAAATTTGATCCTCGAGGTAAAACAGCCTTGCTATGTTTAGTCCACAATCTCAATGCTCTAAATAATTATTGAAGTACGTAGTTTGACTAATTTTATACAACTTTTTACTGTTAACAATTAATGAACAACTAGGGGAAACCCGTCGAAATCGACGGTTACTCTTGAGGTGTTATGTAACTTCAGCTAACTGCAATGAGAGTGAAAATCATTGTTAAATTAAGGGAGGATAAGCATAATAATGAATATGAGAGTGTGTAACTACCTTAAAAAACGTGGTTGGCCTTAGGTTGCCAAAAGGTTTTTTAGGAGTCTTATAATTGTTTCTTGTTCATAAGTTTTTTCCATGTTAAAGCCACTTTCACTATATAGGAAAAGAAATTCATATAATTGAGCTGTCATCTTACGGGAAAAATCTATATTACTAATAACTGGTTACATCTGCTTTAGGAAAATCATTCAGACCGTATTTCGATTGCATAAGTGAATCACCATCTTTGGTCATATAAATACAGAATTTCGATCATTTTTTTTGTGTTTTATAAAAATATCTAATTCTCCAGAAGGCAGAAACATTCTTACTTTGATGCTTTGATCCAAGCAATTTTGATTCCTTCTCTTGCCACGTCATCCGACGTTTTAAATCATCCTGTACTTATTTGCTAATTGATCAACTTATGGCGTAGTTTTGCCTTGGCCGTAGGCTATCGATCACATAAAGTTGTGCATGTATTTTGTGTTTGGGATGTACCATAATGTACCAAATCCTAAACATTTGCTGAACCACATCCATGTATTTCCGAATGTTTTGTATGTATTGAGGTTTAGTTGCATTGTTCGACCTAGCTAGATGTACATCAAAGAAAAACCCCTTTCCCCGTTTTTTTAATACCTAAACTGCCATTAATACTGCTCAAAACCGTAGATTAAACCTACTCCGTGCTTAGTCTATTCTAAAAGGCCAAAATAGGCAAGTGAAAACCCCTAAAATAAATATAAGCCAACCCGATAAGGAATAGTTATCTGCTCCATTGAAATTGATAAGTCCAACTAATTTTATAATATAAAATTTTTGTAAGGGCATTTTAAAGCATAGATTTTTGAACAAAAATTTTTAAACATATAATAAATTTGTCTTTTTGTTCAAACTATAAAAAGCTTGCCATGCAGTGAAGAATCAATTTCAAATCATAAATAATAATGTAAACATTTAATTTTGACAGTTTCATTAAATGCTCATAACTCTTGAAATACAATTTGTAAATCAACAGCTGGTGCATTAAAAGTAGTGTAAAATTATACATACGGTCAAAATGTAAACAAATCATTAAGGACCACTTTAAAGGCCTTAAAGCACTTTAGGCTTTTAAGGCTAAGGGGACTTTAAAGGCCACTGGGGCAGAGCCCCAAGGGAATTTACCACATTTCTCTTTTGGTGGCTCATCTACAGACCAATACCTTTCTTTAGAGACCCCTACCAAGTTTCTATGCCCAGCCGTTCTCTGAAATTAGCTGTGACAAAAACCCGTTTTTCCTCCATAAGAATAACATGGGATGGGAATTTAAAGGCCACTGGGGCAGAGCCCCAAGGGAATTTACCACATTTCTCTTTTGATGGCTCATCTACAGACCAAGACCTTTCTTTAGACACCTCAACCGAGTTTCTACGCCCAGCCGTTCTCTCAAATTAGCTGTCACAAAGAAAAACAGTTTCAAATTAATATATAGATAGATTAGAAGAATTCAGAGCTGGTTTTAACACTGAAACTACGAATACACAGCTAAAGACTTAACGATTAATTATTATAGTCATCAAATTAATTATTTTAATTAATTACTGATGGTCGAGAGCAACAGGTATTCAATGGTGCACTTCACTAAAGTATTCCAGCTTGTAATTAAGTATTCGTAACATACGAATCGTTTTTACTACAAAACCTGACATTCCTGTGTTAAAATTATCGTCAGTTTTGAAGAAAAAATACATGTAGTTAAACCAAGGCCCCACTAGGCCATGCTGCAGCTCGGGCAGCGCAACACTACGTCACAGTGGTGGATAGTTGTATTAATCTTACCATTAAAATCTTACAAACAGCCAGCTTGATTATTTACCTAAAACATATGGAAATGGTGATGGCAATGAATTTATCAATGAAATCTATCCACTAGTGTGACGTCATGGATCCTGCAGCATGGCCTAAACCAGGCCGCCGTCATAATGCGCTGATAAAACTACTTGTTAACCAATCCAAACTATAAACGCACTTTATTATTAACCAAAGTGTCTATTATGTCACACAGACTCTCATAGTGATAAAAATAGCGGAGAAAATATGATTTTATACTGTAGCCCCAACTGTGTTCTATTTTTTAAACAAAATTGGGTACAGCTGGCCCAAATAGACGGGATATCTACTTCAGTATCCAAAACCTGATAAGAACTACAAGTTTTTGATTGTAAAAGCTAATCAAGAGAGGTTGTTTTGTATTGATGGAAAATTTTCAAATGGCTCTAAATGGCAACAACATGTAAAAATGTTTAAATATGTCAAATTTCCAACAAACGTTGACACTGACACTTAATTTTTCCAATTTTGTTATCCTATAGAAATCGTGAGGAATACAGTTTCATTAAAGTCAATGGTTTGAGCTTCAGTAATTCAGAATTTGATCGTAATACATTTTACAAATTAGATCAAATTAAATTACACTTCACTCCCTCACCCCATTAAACCTGTAAGTACAATCCCTACGATACTATATAGGGAGTATTAAGTGCATTTCCTGTGAAGAGAAATAATGTCTTGTTTCCAAAATACACAAATTTTAGTTCACGTTACCCTTACCGCTTAACTTAGACACAACAGTTTAATTTTTCACCAACTGCCAAAACTATCCACGAAAACTTAAACAACCAAAATAATTCCATGTCAACGTGTGCTTGGAAATACTTAGGTTTATTTAATATTTGGTTTTATTTAAAGTACTCTTGCATCTAATTGAAGAAGAAAAATTAGTTCTGCTGAATAAAAGTTAATCAATATTTTCTTTGCTATACGATTTTTTATAAGGGTACCACACAAACACTAAAACGTCATTTTTAATCGTCAAGGAATTAATTTTCACTGACTATCTAGTTAAACCTAATGTTAATGTTCAGTAAAAAATTTGTAACTTTATTTTACAACCTGTGAAACCCCTGTAGAAAGACTTCAAGGAAACCAACGTTTTTGATTCAGGTGTTAGCTGACTTGAACATATAGTAATTATATATTTTGTAGTATAAGCCATTGTTTTTAACTGATGATGATGATGGTTTATTAAAAATAATACAATATATCGATTAATATAGTTAATGAATGATTTTACTTGCAGAAGCTATTTGATCTAAAATAACATTACAATATGTGTATTTGATCTACGTTGGACTAAACGTACTTTTACAATAAACTATTTGGTTTTGTTCCAGGGCAAACATTCGTGAGGAGAACATTCGTTTAACACCAATCTTCGTAAGGAACGCCAATCAACAAGTATTTCTGTAACAAGTTGTTGCATAGCATAGATTTTATTTTCCACAATGAAAATTGTGATATCATTTGATAAGTAAATATGATAAAAATCCTTTGTAAATATATTGTAAGTAAAAGTTGCCCCTCACTTTAGTTAAAAAATGTTTTATTGTTCAAATCCTGCAATTGCTTTATTCACTAGTATAGTATAGCCATTTTCGTGATTAAACTTTGGAAATAACTATAGGGTATCTTTTAAATTTAATATTTCTGCTTCTTATTTTAATTAATTTAAGACATGTGGTTTGAAATTATTAGTACTGTAGCAGGGAAATCAAATTATCTTTAACAGTTAAAGTAATATTACTTGCGCGCCGATTATGCATTTTTGCTGTACTAACAGTGTACTAACTATGACATTTCATGGGTAAAATCACAAAAAACAGCAATAACTTTTGAACCATTTTTTTTTTACAGAATCGGGGGATAGAGTTAAAAGCGTCTTTAGAGGTAAAAGGGGTTAATATACTTACAATAGACAATCGCGGAAAATCCTCATTGAGTAAAAAAAATAAAATAAAATAAAAACCTGGAGATACTTTCGATTAGTACCCACGTAAAGAATGTAATCAAAGTCAGGCCACAGGTGTATTCTTTGGCTGTATACACATCTACACATAGACATATTTTCTAAAACGAGGTGAAAGTAGATATGTACACCAAATTCTCATTCTCTGGCATACAAATTTATAAAATGTTGATATGGATTGATATTAAAAAAAAAGTGTATCTGTCAAAATATGATAGTTTCCAATGACAGTGTTCCAATATGTGAGAATAGCCTCCCTAGAGAGTTCTCCTTTTCGTTTTATAGATATGTGGACAGTGTTTTTCTGCCTGAATAGTTTTTCACATTACTTCAGGCTAGACTGAGGGGCTACGGAATACAATCCATTGGTGATTTGGACGGATTTGAACCCGGACCTCAGGAACCGAAGTCCCGCGCTCTATCACTAACCCAACTCGCTCCCCTATGGCTCGTTTAAGGTTATGAATATCCAAATCATGGAATTATGTAAACGCCACGAGTGATTGTAGGGATTTGAACCGAGAACAGAAAATTCTTCAACCACAACAGCCGCGTCCTTAACTATTTCAAGTCTATCAAAGCTTAAACTACATCTTAAAGTTTTCATTCGAAAATTAAATTTAGTAAGACGGATTGACATCATTAACTAGGACGTGTAATAAAAGCTAGAATTGGCAAAGTCCATTAAACCAAAAGTTACATTACAAGATAAGTATGTGAAGCATTTTATAATATTATATTCGTTCTTGGTTCCATTTATTTGAATAGTTCTACAACACAATTTATTACAAAATTGATATTTCAACTTGGAAGACCTGCTCTAGGTTACAACCGTGTTTTCCGCTCCCCCGCATCCAATACCAACGGTCAGGAAATTCGAAGTCACCAGCTCAGAAAAGATGTGATATATGGCCTGAGAGACGGACAGACAGACGTGGGGTTGATAAGGAACCACCCCACACACTAGCGCCATGGACGACCCATTAAATACAGCACGTAAAATAGCAATAGCGGGAATGGCTAAGGGCAATAAATACAACCGGCCCCAAATATCGGCATAAATATGTCCCAAATGTCCTCGGAAATGGCGGGTTTTATTCCACGGCGATCCTGAACTACCTGGTAGAGTTATGACCAAATGTAAACCAGATTGTAAAGGCTTGTTTCCTAAGGTAGTTGTGTGTTATTGCTCGCTACTTGGGAGTTTGTTGTATAAAATATTACAATTATTGAAAAAATGTATAAATTTGCGTTATTCAATTTTACGTTACTGATTAATTTATAGAAGAAAATATACCTTCTAACTATATGGAAACTAAATGCAGTACTCTTTTATTGTTTGAATGTAAACTGAAACAATTTCACTAATTATGAAAATCTAGCTAAATGAAGCATGTGTAGTATTACAAGTAAAACTCTCATGCGATTTTTTTTACAAATGAGACAAAACTATCCATACTGCTAGTTAATTTGTACTTAGATGGTACATTAGGTCATGGTCATATGAATTTAAACTTAATAACAAAGTTACTTTATAAACAGCTGAAGAACTAATCGTCAATTCATATTCCCTAGTAAACAATGGATATTGGTTAGTAAATATTGATCAACAAATATTTAAATAAATACAAATGAGAACTTAAAAGGGATACGTCAAAATCCACTAAATTGAAGTAAATCTGGTTGATTTTCAGCTACTGAAATAGTAAAATCAATTATGTCAAATAAAACCATCCCGTGAGAAAAGAGAAAACATAATCCTATAACCATTTTAACAATTTTTACCTTACATAATTTATCTTTTTTAACACATGTATGTGTGTACTAAATATAAACCTTTTTAACATTGGCACTTGCACGTTGTCGTACCCAAGATTGTCCTGTATTTGTATAACGCCACCCTTGAGGTTTGTAATATGTACTTCCGCCCCCTGAGGCAGGAATTTTGACCAGGCGAGTCTAATAAAACCACGTGTTCTGCCCCTTATTTGCATGTCCCCCCCCCCTGTTTGCTCTGCTGCCGCTGACCTTGTAGTCTTCGCAAACAATCCATTATATGTCTTGGTCGTGTTCTTCATACTCTGAAGGGATCCTTTGTCCAGATGGTTCCTAAAGTTCATGTGTTAAACTGGACAGTTTCAATAGAAAAATATGTTTCTTAACTGGCAACCAGATTTTTGGATACACAATTGTGTGTATGAATATTGAGAAAAACTATAATGTTGTTACATGTTACATGTTACCCCTACCTAACCTATTACGCCAAGGAAAAAATGATTTGCTATTGAACGTTGGAAACAAGAACTACCCTGACAAAAATTTCAACCTTTGTCAAATTAACCACTTGACTTTTAGGTGCATTAAAAGGTTGTTCTTGAACATTTTGATCAATTTTTAATTGATTAATTGTTCAATTTAGAATTGAATTGCAGTAATGACATCTTTAGTTACAAAAATATAACCACTTTTATTAAAAATCAATAGGCCTACCTCTAGTCCTTTAGTAGCCTACATTTATATTTATTGTGGATCCCATGGAATCAGTTAACTATTTTTTTAATTGTGATAATTCGAAAGAGTACAAATCCAGATTTTCTCTCATTTTATAAATGGACTTTTTTACTTATACAGTAGGTTCTTTCCTTTCTGCACCCCCTGTAACCGATTATAATAGGTGTCATTTTTAATAGATATAACTTATGTATAGTAACTATTAAACAGTACCGGTATTCGGAATTTCTGATTGATGAGTAATTTTATTACATTTCAACATGTTATTTACTATACTTTCCAACGATAAAATCTTCATTATTTGTCATACAAACGTTTTTGTCAATCACAAAGGAGTGAGAACAAAATTTCCCCTTCTATGTTTCATTATCTAAAAACCATGTTCCAAACTTTTCCTGTGTATATATGTGTATGTTAGAATTTTAATTCATATAAAAATGTGTCCATATAATGGAATTGTATTATTAAAAATGCTGTCAATGCATAACCCTTGAAACATTTTTGATTGTACAGTACGATTATACAAAACCAAAATTACAAACTCTTTCTTCTCTTATTGTGGGAAAAATTGTTTTCTTTTTTTTCTGAGTGGCAAATTCTTAAAACAAAATTTTTAAAAATATCGAATACAAATATCTCTAAGGACTAAGACTACTACAAATAAAGGTGATTAAAAGATACTTATTTTCAAACAGGTTTCCAACACATTATATTCACACCTACACAACAAAGATGCATTAAGGCTATGAGGGACTCTCACCCTTCCAACCCAAAATTGGATTTCCTTCTCCGGGTTGGAGGAAATAAACCACCTTGTCAGTGAGGCGAAGTTGTTGCTGTAACAACAGGGCGTTATCGAACAACAACAACAACGGTCTGATTGTTGTATCGGTCGTTGACATTTCGCACATCGTCGTCTCTAGAGGCAATTTTACTCATTTCCACCTTTTGTTTTCATATTTTGTTTTCGTAAAAGATCGAAACAACACACTGAACCACAGGTGAAATAAAATTATGTTGATAAATTTGTGGATAATGGAATTTTTAGTCAAACTACATAATTGCTAACATTGAGCACGTTTGGGTTAGTGTGCGCTAAATGATGGAGTTAAGATAGGGAATACCAAAAGTATATTAGTGTATATATATTAGTATAAAAGTGAAATATTAGATATATTAGTGTGAAAAGTGATGTATGCTTAAGCCTCATCTAATACTTTCTGTACTAGAGGAGGCTATTGTATACCTCATGGTACATGGTAGTGTAATGACAAACTTGTTTGTATATTACGTAGTTATTAAGTAGTGTATAGTTGTTAAGTAGTGTGTAGAGAGTGTGTGTGAGTAGTTTTTGAACGTTTAATGAGTGAATTTTATAAGATGCTATGACATTTGAAATTTTACATTTGTTTCACATTGTTGTAATCTGTATCATCATTATTAATTAGTAAATAAAATTAATAGGAGGCCCTAAGTAATTTAGTTTGGAGTTCACTGAGTAATTTTAATAGCGTTCAAGATGCCAAAGACAAAATCAGAACTTTTTTAGGGCGCACTGATTTCGAGCACGAAACCCCAAAATGTGGTGAAATCGAGCATTGCACTGAAGCGGCAATAATGAGTTCCCCAATCCTATGGTGGTTTCGAGTATTTGGCCTTCCTAGAACTTTAAGGATGATTAAACCGGGGAAGATGAGAAAAAACATTCAAATCAAACTACCACATTTATTTCCTGACCTTGTGGCCCACACACTTGACAAAAGTTAACAAATTAATGTGCGAGTCCCTCAGTTGTTTTGGTTTTACATTGAAAAATTTTTGCCGTACTAGGGTGGCCTTCCTTTACTTTGCTTCTCTCGACGCATTGTTCAGTCGTAATCTGCGAAGATGGTGAGTTTCTCGCTTGCTGGCTAGATGGAAATGAAGTCACAGAAAGCCTCGTCTTGAGCATTCCTGTCATTAAGTCATACACTGCATACCGCTACCGTTCCGGGTGCGTCCCACACAATGTGTGTGCTGTAGGCCTACATTTGAAACCCTTATTTTTTGGAATTATTACTAA